TTAGGCCTTTTCAAGGCTGAAGAATGTGTGGTGAAGGCATGGTAATCACAAGGGCAGAGAGCTAGACGAGAAAGATGATGCCAGTGACGCAGGCTAAATTAAGCAGAAAGTGATCCACAATTTACCACAAACCTAGAGTGAGTCAGTACTCTGTTCATTCCCACTGTGGAAAAAAAAAAAAGCCTGATAACAGGAGCCATGAATAGGGCATGGCATGTCCAGTAATCTTTCCGTTAGGCTATGCATTAGTCCGGTCCCATGTGAGACGTGGAGCCAGTCTGGGTCACTGAACTTCACAGAGAGTGAGGAGACCGATAAAGATCCAGAGAGCTTGACCAATTTCAGGGAGGATGGAAGACTCCTAGAGAAAAGTTGAAACTGTCAAGTAGGCTCTCTTTGGGAAAAATAGAGACATCTTTTTGGCCTCAATATTGGGGAGATTCCTATAGAAAGGACAACACTCAGTTTTTGCTTATGTCTTCAGAAGGCTGACTGTAAGGAAAGGGGCCTCCACCAACAAGCAGGGACTTCTGTAGGACACAGGCAAAACTTTTTCAGACTCTGGGGTGATTATTTAGGTCTTGGGATGAGTGCTTTTGGGCTACTGGCCCTGGAAATATTTGAGAAGCTGCCAGTTCTCCTGCTCTGAGTGGTTCAGACTGATGCCCACTAGGTGCCTCCAGGGGCCCCACTCCAGCTTTGTGACAACTGTTTCTTGGTAGCCCCCTGAGGAGCGGGGAATGAGGTCACAGAGGAGTGCTCCCCAGGTTCCCTGAGCCAGCATTCTCCTTTCTGCTTCCTCACCTTCATTTTAGTGCTTGTTAACAGCCAGTCAGGTTGGTGTGTCATTACATCACCTGATCCTACTATTCCAGCCCTACCATACATAGAGGGGACTTAGCTTCTGGGTCGGGGAAGTGGACACTACTCAAACAAAGCTCTCTTGGTGACATGGAGAGTGGGAGTGACCCAGGAGGCCTCAAGAGCCATTAAGTTCAACCTCCTACAAAAATTACCTCCTGCACTGCAACAAGTGCTTTACAAACATTCTTTTGCATTCACACAACCTTGGAGGTAGGTTTTTGTAGGTGTGGAATTGGAGATTAAGACAAGTAATTTGCCCAGGGTTATGCTGCTGATGAAGGAGTGCCTGCTAAATTTACCTGGCAGGAAAATTCATGTCATTTCCTTTAGAGAATGAAGAAAACTTCAGACCAGAGAGCCTCCTACCCAAAGCCTCACAGCTGATCTGATACTGGCACTCAGGGTCCTAGCTATTCATCAGGGCGTCTTCCCTAGTCACATATCCTCTTCTGACGTCTAAATGTAGGGGTGCTGAGGATGTTGCCTGGGGCAGGCCAGCCTGCGTCAGGTGAAACTGAGGAGCAGATAGGCTGTGGAGAAACACTGCCCTCCAGACTTTCATCCTAACCAACGTCGAGAAAAAACCCGTTTCCAGGAGGGCCCAAAGGGCAAAGGGCTGGGATAGTCAGTTTCTGGAGAGCCAGGGCAGAGGTAGTGAGGTGTAGCTGAAAAATTATGACTTGGGGTCAGAATCTCTGGGTTTTGGTTCAGGTTGGGACCCAGAGGCAACCTGTGGCAAGTTAATTAAAACTCCAAGTTTCCTCAACTGCCAAACCGGGCAAGAGTAAACCCCTTATGAAGCCCGCGGACGCCAAAGCAGGAATTGTTATGCGCCAAAGCAACACGATCAGATCTTTGTATGGCGCACTATCAAAACCTCCGTGCGGCCCCACGCGAGGCCTGGCTGGAGGCGGGGAGGGGGGGGACGTACGAACTCCCGACGGACGGCGGTCCGGGG